CGCCGGCTGGGCAAGCCGCACTAGTACATCCATTGCCCCCCGCCACGGAGCCAGTAATTGGGTGCTGTATTGTCTCTCTGTCTCTCTCTCTTTCTGGGAGGCGGGGAGGGGGGCGGTCAGACGCGGAGGGCTCCCCGGTGGGGTGTTCCCGCCGGCCCCGATCCCCCCCTGTCTTGCGTCTGATGATGTAGGTCTGAGCACCGGAGCGATAGGCATGTGTGTGCGTGGGGCGGGGGCGGGGGCGGGGGGGGGGGGGGGGCGGCCCCTGGACATATCTTTCGTCGTGCAACCAGGAGCCCGGGGCCCTCCCCCGTGCACTCGAGGTCGGACCACCGCCACACGCGTCTCCGAGTTGCCAGCGCGCCCTCTTTTTCGGGCACGCAAATAACATGGCCAAAGTGCAGGAAAGGGCTGGGGGGGGGGGGGGGGCAACCGGGGGCACAGGAAAAAGTCCACCCCGGCTTGTGTGCACCCGCGTCAGCATGATCAGAGAAAAGGTGGGACGTATGCCCCAGTCTGTTGGGCTGCCTGCGAAGCGCGCGAGGGGTCCTTGTTGAGGTTACTGCACAGAGTGCCCTTCGGGGGGAGGGGCATCTATGCGCTCGCCCCCACTCCGTGTCCCTCCCCCGGCCAAGCAGGTGTGTTCCCTGTTTTCAGAAAGGGGAGGGGCCGAAGGACGGACAGCCGCGGGGGGGGGGGGGGACCGGGGGGCGCCCCCGCCCGGGCGGGTCCTGGAAACGGGCGTCCCAGCGCGCCGTGCCCCTGGCGCCCCCAGGACGCGTGCGGGGGTAACTGAAATCCGCCCCCCCTCCCGTCTCGGCGTGCGGTGGGAGCACGGCTGCCCCGTCCGGGGGGGTGCGCGGTTAGGAGCAAGAAAGCCGGAAACCGGTCCGTGGAGCGGGGAAAAATAGTGGGACGCCCGGCGGTTGGCGATTAGTGCGCTCCGCTGGCCCGGGGGGGGGGGCGGACTTAGGGCGCATGCGGTGTGTAGGTAAAGGCGCCTACCGGGGCATGGCAGCCCTCGCAAATGGAGGCTCGGCCCGGGAGCCTGCGCTGGCTCGTTTACTAAGGCCGCGAGCCGGCTGCCTGGCCATCCCTTCTTCGGTCCCCTCTGCCGGCGTCGTCCGGGGGTGGTGGGAAGGGCGGGCGGGGGGGGAGGGGGGGGGAGGTCGAGGCTCTGATGATGACGCCCCGTACCAGGGGGGCACAGGGGGCGGTCTGCCTGGGGAGGGCAGACTCATAAGCGCGCGTTCCGTGTGTCTAGAATGAGGCGCCCTGGCTCTGGACCTGCCTGGCACACGACCGAGGACATAGTAGTACCGGCCGACGGGCCCGGGGCCCCAGAAATCGCCATGAAGCCGCGGTGGCTCCTGCCCTGCACATGCATATTCGACGACCCCCCAGTACACACATATTCACGTACATGCTGACATGCAAACCACACATATATACACGCACACACACACACGGGCAAGGAGGCAGTAGATCCATCAAGGCGGCAATGGCTAGTGTGCATGACACCAGGATCCTTTCCGTTAACGGGCATTCTTACGGCGCCGACCCTGGCGCGCCCTCGCTTGCATGCGAATCCACACATATAATGCACACCCAGGGTGTGCTGTTCAACACCCTTTTGTCTTTAACGCTTCCACGTACGCTGTCGCATTGCCACACGGTCGCACCGTCAATCGTACAAACCACCACTCTATCTGTCTCTCCCTCTTTCTCTTCCGCTCACACACACACACATGGCTGGCGGCAGGCGACCCCGGGTGGCATTGGAGAGTCTGGCAAAGACTGTTCGCCTGTCACGCAGGAAAAGACCAGCCACGCCCCCGCCCAAGCGGGTCAACCCCCCACCTGACACGACCGAGCCGGATCAGCCGGCCGCGGTCCAAGGGTACCTCCCGTGGGTACGATGCCGCCTGCTGCCACCCCTCCTCGCCCTTGGGCCCGTGCCCTGGTGCCGGCGGTCGTGGTGATGTGACAGCGACGATTCCCCCCCCCCCCCCCCCCGGGTGGCATTGGAGAGTCTGGCAAAGACTGTTCGCCTGTCACGCAGGAAAAGACCAGCCACGCCCCCGCCCAAGCGGGTCAACCCCCCACCTGACACGACCGAGCCGGATCAGCCGGCCGCGGTCCAAGGGTACCTCCCGTGGGTACGATGCCGCCTGCTGCCACCCCTCCTCGCCCTTGGGCCCGTGCCCTGGTGCCGGCGGTCGTGGTGATGTGACAGCGACGATTCCCCCCCCCCCCCCCCCCGACTGGCCGCGGGCTGGACACGGGGGAGGGAAGGGGGAACCCTGCCACACGCCCTGGATTCCAGGCATAACCAAAGGGTAAAGAGTTCTCCACACATTCGCGTGCACAGGCCCACGCATACGGGAAAAGACTCACACCCGCCTGAACACCAGTGGGGGGGTTAGAGTCCACCCCACATGCCCACTGACGGGGGCAGCCGATCCGAGCCCAATGTCCCCGGACATTGGCGCGCGCCTGCTATCGATGATGGTAGTCGCAGAACAGAACACCATGCTATAGCGGGACACAAGATCCATTCGGCCTGTCGGCGCCTCGGGATGCTGTTCTTGTTGTGGAGCATGACGATTCTTGGCGTGGGAGATATTCCAGCATTGTGCCCAGCCCACCCCTGGCACAGAGAGACCCCTTTGGCGGCGAGCATGGAAAAAGGCGGCGCCGGGAGGAGGCCCCGCTTTGGGCGCTTTTCCCTCGGCTCAAGAGGTGGACAGGAAAGGGAAAGAAAAAAAAAACAGGCTGCACCATTTCACAAGGACACTTATATTCGGCGAGCGGGCAGGACACAGGGAGAAAGAGCGGGGGCCAGGGAGGCCCGGGATGCATGCTCGACGGGGCGATCCGCAGGCGTGTGCACACACCGCTGAGGCCGATCGGAGTGCAGCATGCGTCGGGCTGTTGCGGGCCGGCCCCTCCTACCTTTCGATCCCCCCGCGTCCGCCGGCTGGCCACTCGGAGGCGCATGAATATGTGTATGGCGCACATGCGGCCGCGTGTGCGTTCGGGGGGGGGGGGGTCGAGCGCGCATGCGTGGAAGACACACTCGAACGCACGCTGGCGCCAATCACCATGCACCCACAAACAGCAGGATCGGGCCTGCTGCCAGTCAAGGAGGGGGGCACATTTATGCGCGCATGTCTCAGACGCACGCCCCCCCCCCCCCCCCCCCCCCCCCCTTCCGGACACCAGGAGAACACGCGGGCGCACAGTGCACGGACGAGGCCGTCACTCCGCGGCGAAGAAGGACTCCGGCAGCTCGGCGGTAGAGGAGTTGGAGATGGCCGCCGAGGAGAATGCCCCATCGGAGAGTCCACCCGTCGAAGTGCCGGAGATGGATGCACGCTTGGAAGCCGAGGAGGAGGAGGAGAAAGTACGCGTGAGGAAGGACTTCAACCGACTGCTGGAGGAGGAAGAGGAGGACGCCCCGCCGGCCCCGGCCTCATGGGCTGAGCCGATGGAATTCCGCGGCGACGGGCCGCCCCCATCGCTGAAGTTGCTTGACAGCCGGGCCGATGGGTCGGTCTGAATGCGCACGCGCGCCGCTTGCCCGGAGCCCGGCGGGGGGAAGAGCCCGCGCCCGGCGGAGGGCGCCATGTCGGCCCCGGCATCTGACGAGGAGGAGGAGGAGGAAAACCACCCGGGCGAAGGGGAGTCCAAGTGGCCGCCGGCCGCCGGGTCCCCCGCCGGGCCGGCTCCGCCGCCGCGCGGCGAGCTGACCATCAACAGCGGCGACATGACCGCCACCGGGGTGGACAGGGTGCTCGGGATGGCATGGATGTTCCAGGGAGTCCCGCGCGAGGACATGTGCGTCACGTAGGTGGAGGATCCGCGCGAAACCGCCGTCTCGGCCTTCTGGGCTTGGAGCACTCGCCGCCCACGCAGGAAGCTCCCCGTTCGCTGGGTCACCAGCGCCCGGTACTCGATGGCCGGCAGGGGCAAGTCTGGTCCCAGCAGCAGGGCCGCCGTGTGACTGGTGGAGGACGTGGCGCTGGAGGCACCGGACCCGGCCTGTGAAGGGGGGCCGCCCCCGGGAGTCCCATTGCGCGCCCGGCCAAACAGTGAGGTCTTGGAGCCGCCGCCGCTGCCGCCGCCGGACCCGCGGCGTTGCAGAACCCGGCGCTTGGTCGGGGTCAGGAAGCCGCCGGCACTGCTGCTGCTGCTGCCGCCGCCGCCGCCCCCGCCGGGGCCGATGCCACCGGGAGGGGTGGAACTCCCACCGAAGGGGGGCGCCGGGCCGCCAGCCACCGGCGACCCGGCAAAGGGCTGCCCGTGCATGCTTGTCGGCGAGGACGATGACGAGGCCGTGGACATGGGGGAAAACTCCTCGGTCACGTCCTGCGGCGAAATGCCAAAGCGCGAGCTGAAGAGCCCGGTGAAGTCGATCCCCAGCAAGCCCACCAGCGATGCGAGAAGGGAGAAGCGCGAATTTTCATCCCGCAAGAAGGCCGTGGGAGCGTAGTGGGTCCTGGAGAGAGAGAGGGAGAGAGAGGGAGAGAGAGAGAGGGAGGGGGAGAGGGAGGGGGAGGGAGCGAAGGTCAGTAGCCAGCAGTCGACGGAGGGGTGTTTGTTGGTGTGCATATGCCGGCGCGGCGCCCAGACAGACAAATGGCGCGGCGAGCATCGGACGCACCGAATCAAGTCCGGGTAGCTGACCACGCGCTCAATGGCCTCGTAAACATCGCCCCGCTCACAGACCAGCCGCAGCCAGGCGCGTCCAAGACCGACCCCGGACCGGAACACCCGTCGGAGTTGCCGCTGTTCCAGGATCGCCACCTCGGCCTGGACCAGGGGGTTGCTCTTTGCCGCCGAGCGAACCAACAGCCAGAGCCCATTATTCGTCCGAGAGGTGGTCACCGACATCGCTGTGAGGCGCGGAAGAAAGACAAAGAGAGCCGAAGGAAGGAAGGGGAGACCGGGTGGGGAGATGGCAGCGCGGGAGGTTAAAGAACATGGACACAAGGGAAGGCGGCGGGAGGGGAGTGGGAGGAACCCGCAGGAGGGGCATTCCAACGCACCATTGCCAATCCCCGGCATGCAAATCGATCCGCTGGACGCCAAATCGATGGCACCATGGTTGAAGATACGCTCGAGAGCCGTGCTAAACTGCCGGAAGACACGCTCGTCACTGAAGCCCCGCGGTCGGCCGATCATCAGCGGGTCGACCGCCGCCCCGCCAGGGCCAACCGCCTCGGAGGCGAAAACCCCGGAGATGGACATGCTGGCCGAGTGGGGAAGACCGCCGGCGGAGGAGCCCCCACCGGGGCCCGATGGGGCATTGCCATTGCCGCCAGCCGAGGTGCTGCTGAAGCGCCGGAGGAATGACGCCCCGAGGCCGCCGGACGATCCGGTCCCACTGCTGCCCGAGCCGCTGGCCGTCGCCGAGGGATGCGATGTGGCACTTGAAACCGTGATGATCGGCATCGGGCCGAGTGGTGGCGATGGGGGGAGCCCCCCGGGCCCGCCGCCGCCGCCGCCGGCGGCTGCCCCAGACCCAGAGGCCTCCAGGATGCTGGCACCGCTGGCCCGGCCCCGGACAATGATGCTGCTGATGGCGCCCTTGGCCGCCTCCAGGAGCATCCGCCGGAATTGCGAATCACTCAGCTGCAGCTCGGTCGGCACCGGGGCCGCCGTGGCCTGCCGCCCCGATGCCAGCCCGGTGTCGATGCTGTTTCGCCGGTTCAGCCGATTGGCCAGGAAGATGGCACTCTTGGTGCGGGTCCGTTGGCCGGGCACCTGATGACTGGCCCACTTGGGGAAGCGTCCGCCCAGGGCCGCACCATCGGCCGAGCCACTGCCCTTGGCCCAGGTCGGCGCCCGGGGGGAGACCGGCATGCTGGAGGCGAATTTCAGCGGGGCCAAGTTCACCGACCCGGATGTCCGATGCTGGTGGATGAAGTGCTCGAAAAGCCGGAGGCCATGCTGGCGGATGGCCCGGCGTCGAAGAATCCCGGCCTTGGCCGAGTCCCCGGCCCCGGAGTCGGCCCCGCCACCGGAAGAGGGCAGTGGCGACAGGGGCGGCGGCAGGCCGGGGGCAGAGGCCCCGAGCCCGGCGGCCTCGGCCTCCTGGTCCAGGTCCAAACGGTCGTCCAGGTAATTGGCCCACATTTGCGTGGGGGAGCCCATGAACTCACGCAGGAAGGCCGCCGCATCGGGGGGATGCTCCGACACGAAGCCCTCCACATCGAAGGCCAGGCTGGTGCCGGAGGCTTGCCCGGCCAGGAAGGAGTCCCCGCTGGTGGTATCCGTGTCGGACATGGTCACCGCCAGGCGAGTGCCAGTTCGGCTGAGCACCGTCGGCAGGATGTAGCTCGTGTGTTCCGACAGGAGGCTGGCGAAGAAGTTGACAAAGCACTGGCGCACGGTGCGGTCCAGGTCGACGTCCGAAATGGACGCCAGCCCTTTGCAGATCATCTTCAGACTGGACGACAGGACGGCATACTCGCGTGCGGGCAGGACCGGCAGCACGGCCTCCATGGCCCCGGTGCCGCCGCCACTGCCGCCGCGAACATACCCGGCCCCGGTGCCGCCGCCGCCGCCGCCGCCGCCGCCGAGGCCGGTGCCACTCAAGCGGCCGGCATCCTCGGCCGGCGGGAGGAACACCTCCCCATGGTCGAGATCCACGAAGCAGGCATCCGGCGGGACGTCCTCAATCGAAAAGGCCTCCTCGGTGATGCCAATCAAGTAGGGGACCGGCGCATCCAAGTAATGCCGCAGCCGGTAAGGCAGGCAGGGGATGTACACATGCGGCCATTGGAAGGGAAAGAGCAGCTGGCAGAAGGACTCCAGCACTGCCAGCAGGAGGTCGCTGTACCGGGACACGAAAATGACCTTCTGCTCGAGGAGGATGGCGCCCAGGATGACCAGAATATTGTCCACACCAAGGCACTCGAGCATGGGTCGGATGTGGATCTGGCCATTTGGCAAGGCCGCCCAGAGGGAAGACCGGGGTCACCGAGAGACGGAGAGCGAGTCAGCAACTCCGCACAAAGGGCCCCCACCGGGGAAGGGCATTGTCATGCGGATACGCACGGAAAGTGGCGGCAGGCCGTTGTCAATGGGGATCTGCAAGATGGCTACGGTGCTCGGGTCGAGGCGCTGCTTGGGGTGTGCCCCGGAGGTGGCTGCCATGCGGAAGGGCACGTGCATGGCCACGGCTCCGGGAACGGCGATCGGCACATCATTGGCCAAGTAGCCGATCAGCCTGACGGGGCGCGGAGCGGAGAAGGGGGGGGGGATGGGGGAAGAGGAAGAAGGGTGAGTGCAAGGGGAAAGGGGGGGGGGAGGGACAGGGGCATGAGTGGTGGGGTAACTTCTCCCTCGAAGCGCCGTGGCGGCGAGGGAGAAGTCAGAGGAGGCAAGGCTCGCTGGGGGGGGGGGGGGGGTACGCACACCTCGAAGGGCATTTGCTTCATGAGGGCCGGGTCCAGGGAGTATGAGTGGAGATGCTCCAGCACCGCGCGGAAGAAGGAGTGCAGCGGATGGTGCGAAATGATGCACAGGCAGAGGGACGTGGTATCTGGAGGCAGGTGGGACAGGAGTGTCAGATTAGGGGGGACACCGGCCCGGCGCCAGAGAAAGGAAATGCGGGGGGGGGGGCATACACCAAAGAGGCGTGGTCATGGTGGTGTCTTGGGCCTCGCCGCCGGACGGGACGTCCAGGATGCCAGACGACGGAGGGGCAAAGGACTCCGGCGTCACCAGGGGGAGTGCCGCGAAGGTTTCCTCAAAAGTCAGACAGTAGCCGTAGGCACGAGTCTGGGAGGCAGTGTCGGGGCGGAG